TGCCCAGAGAGATTCCAGGATGCACACTCAGAACCTCTTTCACGCGGGTCCAGTTGCAAATACCATCATATCACTTCCTGGCAGCATGATTTTCAAGACCCCAGGTCGCCAGGTCTGAGACTAGACCGGTCATCTGCCCGGTGGGAATCCAGCGCCCTAACTCCTGTGCCACCTGCTGGCCCCTCTGGGTATTTTTAAAAATGTACTCCTAATTTCTTCCTGGGGTCTGTGAGGGTTAATTTTAAATCAACTTGCCAGGTTGCAGTACCCAGATATTTGATCAAATATTATTCTAGAAGTTTCTGGGAAGGTATTTCTTGGATGAGATTGACATTTAAATCAGTAGAATCAGTAGACTATGAGTAAAGCAGATTTTCTTCCAAAATGTGAGTGAAGGTCTTAATGGAAAGGCTCGACATCCCCAGCGAAGAGGGAGCTCTGCCAAGACTATTCTGTTTCTCTGGAGAACCGTAAGACAGGGTCCCTTGTGATGGGAGATACAAAACCAATGAGCTCTGGTCTGCCCAAAGCATCTGCTGTTCAACAAGCCTTGTGCCTTCTCTGCCTGAGCAGATAACCCCGCCCCAGAGACCTTTGTCCTTTGCAGGCGAAGAGATAATGGAGTGTGTGCACGGAGGAGTGAGGGGCTTCCCACGCTGATGTCCAGAGAAGACCACGCACCTGCTGGGAGGGCGCCCTGGAGGCCCTTCCCTTGACCACCTCCCCCGGCTTACCCTGGGATGCTCTGTTTGGGACAGATGTGGTTGCCGGCCCTAGAGCACATGGCTTTCTTTCTCTCTGGTGGGTTCACACCCGGGAGGAGAGTGCTGTCCCTCTTACTCTCCTTTGGGGCCTCCAGATCCTGCTTTTCCACCTGCTGCTCCACGGAACTCGTTCCCTACAGCCACACCTACACCTTCCTGCCTCCTGCCATACCTCCTACCTACAAATTCTACAGGATCGACTCCTCCCCAAGTCCACTGCCCCCTTTCCCCTGCCCGATGACACTCACTTGCAGGGCTGTTATGGACACACCCTGAAGTATCACCATCCAAATAATGAACCGCAGCGTCCACCCTCCAACCATGGCCTCACGGTATTCCTGTTCTCCCTCCTCCTCACCCCTGTGCCTTGGGCCCTGCCTCTACCCTGCTCCTTCTACATCTCCCACTTCTGGGTACCCACTTGCTTCACTCACATCTGTACCTAGGCGGCACCTGGAGAAAGGGCCTGAAGTTACTGCAATTTCACGTCCCCACACCCACAGCCCTATTCCTTTCCGAGAGTGCACCTACCCAAAACCCTCCTGGGGTGGTATTTGTCATCCATGCCCGTGTCTGTTCATCCAGTCACATGCTTTATCACTTACTAAGTGCCGAACAGGATCCTCTGCATGGGGAGGAGTTGTCGCCCAGGGGAACAATTAAACCACAGAAAACCAGAAGGGAAACTGTGTAGAGTATGCATCCCAGTCAGGGATAGCTGCTTTTGTTTTCGGTTTTGCTATGTTTCTGTTTTTTGTTTTTTTTTTCCAAAATTTTTGCTATAGGGTACAGGCACTTGTGGGAGACAAAGAAAGAGACAGAGAGGGAAAGTGAGAAATCACTGCCCCCCACTCCCAGAGGGGATGGCCATGTTGCCATACCTTCTCCTCTATTCTCCTCTTGGGGTTTTGGGCATGCACACATACATGCCTGGCGTGCTTTTCAAGCTGCCGGGTCTAGGACTTGAACTGTGGAGTCAGCCATGTGGGATTCAGTGCCTTAACCACTGTTGGCCCTTTTTATTTTTTAAATTGTCAGAGTGAGCCACCAGAGAGGGAGAAAGCGCTCCTCAATGAGGCATCAAGCTGTGGAGCCAGCCTGACACATGAGAGGTTTTATAAGTATAAATGTATTTCTTAAGTTGAAATGTATAAGGATTATTGGGTTTTCAGGTAAGTCATGACACTTTTTGTTTTTTTAACATTTTTACTGGAGAGGTTTTTGCTATAGGGCACATGCACTCACCAGAAAGAGAGAGACAGAGAGACAGAAAGTGAGAAATCACTCCCCAGGGGAGATGGCCACACCACAATCCCTTCTCCTCCATTCTCCTCTCGGGATCTTGGGCACGCACGCACACGCCCTGGCATGAGTTTAAGCCACTGGGTCTGGGACTCCAACCCCGGTGACACAGAAGTCCAGCGACATAGCCAATATGCCAACTACTGGTCCCATGACACTTTTTTAAAAAATTTTTATTTTCAAGAGGTTTTTGCTATAGGGCATGTGCACTCACCAGAAAGAGAGAGACAGAGACAGAAAGCGATAAATCATCCCCCATGGGGGATGGCCACACTGCAATCCCTTCTGTTCCATTCTCCTCTCGGGATCTTGGGCATGCACACACATGCACATGTGCCCGTTATGAGTTTAAGTCACTGGGCCTGGGACTTGAACCATGGTCAACTACATGGGAGTCTAGCGACATAGCCATTACACTAACTGCTGGTCCCTCATTTGTTTATTTCAATTTGACCAGAGAGAGAGAGAGAGAGAGTGAGAAAGCAAGCGCCAGTTCTGGGACTTGAACCTCCATGTAGGAATTTAGCACCTTTAATCACCATGCCACCTGCTAGCCCCCATGACACATTTTTTAAAAATAATTATTTATTTTATTTTATTTATTCATTTATTTAAATTTGACCAGAGAGACACACACACAGAGAGAAAGGGAAAGTGAGAAAGCAAGACACCAAGTCTGGAACTTGAACCGTGCTTTGCCATGTGGGAGTGCCCAGCGCCTTAACCACCATGCCACCTGCTGACCCTAGTCATGATGCATGTTTACATAGAAAAATACATTATGACTTTCCTAATGATCTGATAGTTTAAAGAACATTTGGAGGAAGGGCTGGCATGGTGCATACAGGCACATGGCCCACCATGGGCCATGATCCTCTCTCCTCATTTCTCCATCCTGTTGGGATCTTGGGCATGCATACACAGATGCTCAGCCTGGTTTTTTTTTTTTTTTATTATTATCATCATAATCTTCTTTATATTACATTGGATTACATATAACTTTACATTGACTTCCATTGCTTTTTCAAAAGGGAATGCCATGCATGTCAGTCAATACAGAGGCATCGATCTCCCCGCTTTATCATTCAAAGTCTTTTCCATGCATTTCCCAATAATTATTATTATTATAATTTTTTAAAACAGTCAATCACTATTTCTCATTTTGCTTGTTAAAAGACTTCACCCATCATGAAATACTTCCCAGACCAGTCCAGTTGAGAATACTATACACGTCATCTTCAACAGATAATAAACCATATCTGTTTCTCACTAACATCCCCTCTATTGTTCACTTGCTATCTTTCTCTATCCTCTTCTCTTTTTTTTTT